TTGAGGTTTGTCGAGACAGGTATTTGGTTGTTGAAGGACGAAGAAGAGATAAAGAGAGGGAGTTGAGAAGGGAAAGAGAGGAAGTACAATGGCAAAATGGTAAATATGAAAGAGTTGACACTCCGCTAGTACTGTACAGTAACGTCCTCATTGGTTCAGAAATGGGAGAGTTACGAGATTCGGAACTTGCAATTTGTAAGAGTACATAAATGGGCAATGAGTCCGTGCGAATTGAAATTCTTTCAGGAGAATAGACCCGTAAAACCGGGTCAGGTTGGCATTACGGGTCTTGTTTTTTTAGATAATATTCTTTTCTTGGAGGAGACTTCAAATATTTAAGTACTCACTACTTTTGAAATATCAAAAATATAAAAATAAAAAATGTATATATGTATTAATCAAATAATAGATACATATTAAATATAATACAATAGAAAATAACGTCAATATAATGCTATGCGAAAGAATATTTCGATTTGATTTTATAATCTCTAATAAATAAATAAATATATTAATTATTTGATTAAATTCTAGTTGGTAAGTAACAAAAATATTTTGTTAATAATCAAAATAGTTTTTTTAAGTTTAAATTGATATATTTTATTAATTATAATTAGATGATACTTGTATAGTCAATTTTTAATAAAATCATACGTGATGCATAATTTATTTTCGAATTTATATTTCATAAAAAATATAAATAAAATATAATATAAATATTTTATTATTAACAAATATTTTAGTGTAAATTAAAAATATTTTCGCAATAAATAATATTACAAATATAAATCATATTTAAAAAAATATTTTAATTGCTAAAAAGAGAGAGAGAGAGAGAGGGAGCTCACTAGATTTTGAGGTAACTAAGGAAGCAAACAAGAAGAGAGAGTGGCAAGGTTTCTAAATTGACATTCTCTTTTTTTTGTTTTTGTGTATGGCATAAGGAACAAAGAGGAAAAAGAGAAGAAACCAAAAGGTGAAAGACATGGTTTTGAAAGTGATTTTGGAGAATGCTCGAATTAAAAAAGCTAGTAACTAGGGGAGGATTTAAGAGATGATTTTCGAAGTTTTTTTTTCTTCTTTTTTCTTTGTTTATTTTCTAGTGTTGAAATTGGATGTAGAATTTATAAAAGTTATTGATAAACGATGAATAAATTGATGCTTTAGACACCATGTTACTTGAGGTGGAGATAAAACTAAAAAGTGATATTTATTTTCAAGTAATCAAACATGCCAAATATTTTTTCTTGATTTTTTTTAGTTAAAATTAAACAATATCACTATTCTTGAACAAGTTTAAAAGTTGGAATAAAAAAATATAATAAAAATATTTTTAACATTAAATTATAATATTGTCTAAAGTTTGAAAACTAAATAAAAATATTTGTTATTATTATTATTATTATTTTAAAGGCATATTCATTTATAAATATGTCTTTTAGTATAATCTGATCGAGAAGTAGGCTAGCACGGCTCGCATTATCTATTTTGCACGTATATTCTTATTACTGTTTATTTATTAAAAAGTATAAATTGTCAAATTAATTCATAAAATTTGATATTATTTATAATTTAATTAATAATATTTTTTGTTACAATTTTATTTATGACAATTTTTACTTTTTTCGAATGTGTAATTTTATTTAATTTTCTAGCAAAAAAATTAAAATAAATAGACGATAATTGAATATTTTTTAAAAATAATTAAAAAATTAATCAATTAATCAAATTAATAATCATATCATTCCTATCTTTATTGTTATTAATTTAATTAATTATTAAACTATTTTTTAGTTATTTCTTAAATATTTAAATATAATGAATTATTTTTATTTTTAAAAATAAAATAAATATTTAAATAAAAAATATTAAAAATTAAATTATAACGAAATAAATATTAACTACAAACTATAATAAGTTTAAGATCAGGCACTAATTTTATAATTTGTCATACAACGCACAAGAAAACTAAGAAGAGAGGTAAACCATAAACCGGACGCGGCGTCAATTTCTGCCATCCTCTCTGTTTCTTTATCTCCGAATCGACTCCTCGCAAGGAATGCGCTCAAAGGACAGAATTTCGTACTTTTATGATGGTTTGCTTTCTCTCATGTCGTTGTTTTATTTACCAATACTATATTTAATTTACTTGCTTAGCTTTGTGTTAGATTTTCCTGCTCCGTAGAATAAGATTCAGCTAATGCAAGAAAACCGAAGCCGTATAACATGTAATTGTATTATCTCATTCTGTATTTGCTTTTAAAGAAGATGGTTATGTTGGAGTACAATCAATTGGAATCCCTTAGGGACAGAGAAAGGAACCCTACTCACCCGAACTTCGGGGGCCGAGTGTCTTTTTTCTTTGTCCCTAGTTTTGAGTTTTCGATGTCAAATTTTTATCCGAGATGTCTCATTTCTTTTGTGAACTTCTTCCTGGCAAAGTAACAGAGAGCTTAAGTCTTGAGCACTCGAGGATATGGTCTTCTTGCTATACTACTGTGCCACTGGACTTGGAAAATGGTGCTTACTCTTAGATTAATATTGCAGGGGATGTGGGAAGCGTTTACTTTGGGCCTAATCATCCAATGAAACCTCATCGACTTTGTATGACCCATCATCTTGTTCTCTCCTATGAGCTTCATAAGAAGATGGAAATTTATGTAAGTCCTATTGTAACTGCAGCGTTTAATATAGAATGCTTTGCATTTCTCATCACTTGTTTCCTTATTATTGTTATTGTTATTGTTTTATTGTATGTCAAATCTTATACAAAATACAAATTTTGTTTTTTTT